TTGTTGTTGTTGTTGTTGTTGTTGTTGTTGTTGTTGTTGTTGTTGTTGTTGTTATTGCTGTTGTTTCAAATCTTCATTCTAACGATAGCCAGTGGCCAATAAGAGATGTTGTTGTTGTTTGAATTCTTTATTCTCACGATGGCACCATCGCCAATAAGAGATAAGTTTACGAGAAGGTGAGATGCTGTGGGTGGGGCTGTGGGTTATGCAGTTGGAAAGTGATTTACATCACTTTTGTTGTTGTTTGAATTTGAATTGAATTCTTTATTCTCACGATGGCACCGTCGCCAATAAGAGATAAATTTATGAGAAGGTGAGATTGTTGTTGTTGTTGTTGTTGTTGTTTTTAAATCTTTATTCTCACGATGGTCTGTGCCCAATAAGAGATTGTTGTTGTTGTTGTTGTTTCAAATCTTTATTCTCACGATAGCCAGTGGCCAATAAGAGTTGTTGTTGCTGCTGTTGTTGCTGTTGTTGTTGTTGCTGTTGTGGCCACTGTTCTTAGTGCATCCACCAGTTCCATGTTTCAAGTGAGGAAATCGCGGCAACGGGGACGTGCCTGGAATGGTGGCCACTGGTTTGTACAGGAGACATGACGTTTCAGCAAGAGAACATTAAGGTTATTACACGTATGTACTCCGGTACTCTTGGTTTCAGGCATGCACTAACGCCCCTGTTTTGCAACACATGTAGACTTATTATGATGTACATGTACATCTGATATTGTGATAACTGGGACCAGTTATGACAGAGAGGGGGCGGTGATGCCGAGAGACTGGCAGGCTATAGACAGTTTCTGAGTGACTGTCATGATCAGTTTGTGTTTATCCTCAGCCTTGCCTTGGTCACTGGTCAGTGGTCAGAGTATAATTATTATCACATTCCACGCCTATCTCTCACAGATACGACCTCCCCCTGTCATAGTGCAATGGATAAACAGTAGAACAATGGTGTGCGGACTTGTACTGGCTGGTAGCATCTGCAGGACAATGTCAGAACAATCGGAGCTACATGCACATGTACAATATGACTGTCATGATTGTACATGTGCCAGTACATCATGTAGTGATGATGTACACATGGTACATGTGTATGTGCATGACTTCGACAAACATTATTAATACAGTAGTTAGTGTAATGCACGCAGGTAACTGGTTACAAATGCAGTGTACATAGCTCTAGAGGCAGTGGTGTGTAGTGGTATGCTGCATGATGCCTGCATAACATTAACACCGCGTATCAGCGTGAGATGGTCCCAGGAGTCCGGACTACAGATTGACAGGCGATGGCACCAACGGTTCGACAGGTGTCCAGATTAGTCCAGATGCCGCGATGTGTCGCTGCGAAAGAAGCCCTGATAAATACCCACCGAGCTGCTCTTCCACATTACTTTTCACTCCCTAGACTCTCAATCTCATCGATCTTAGCACACTCACCTTGAGGCATGTGTTGCATGACTCGACCTCAACTAGGGTCCGGCGGATTCTGCCGGCAGAAAAACTGGCAGAATTCGGTACTTTTTCTGGTAAGTTTCATGCATGTTTGGCATGTGGATAAAGAAATGGAGCAGAATTTGAGGAATTGCCCGCCATAAGGTTTGTATGCTTCTGCCAATTTCACTGCTCTTCGAGCAGAATCTGCCACCTTTTCGAGCAGAATCCGCCGGTCCCTAACCTCAACCAGTCCTCATTCTCTATCAACCGTCGTCGGGCAAAAAAAACGATGAGTGCAGACCGGGGTCGGCAAACGGCAAGGAATCAGTTCACAGGTCCCTGCTCAATGCTGCGGACGGAATGGGGAGCACAACATCGCATGGCCTAGACCATAGTAGGCATGCAGATGAAACTTGGTTTCGATGAAAACCTCAGGCCACGCCCCACTCCTAGTACAGTACTGGAAACGGTCTGCGTGATTGTATCAATATGCCGGTTTATGACGGTACTTGCACTATGCAATTGGTGTCAGGAACCAGCCTAACCATTGCATAATCCACAAAAGGCATGCGGTGGCAAAGAATGGCCGCCATTGCTCGTGCCCATGGGATGGGGGGGGGGGGGGGGGGGAGGGACCCAGATCTCTAGATTAAGATTTGAGATCTGAAATTACAACCCTCTGTTGGTTGTTGCTTGTGCGTCCTGTACAATGTTCCCCTGCCGTCACTCCTTTAACGTTACAATGTAGTTGTCATTCATGCTGTGCTTTTTAAGGGAAAGTTGGCATTTCTTGCCTACTTCTAGCTATGGTCTCCTTCTCTCAGCTCACCAGCTGCTTAACAGTCCGTTTTCATGGTGATGACATTCACTGTTGACCAGCTGACAAGCTGAAAGAAGAATGCCATACTAGGCAGAATAAGTTGCCAAAAAAACAACAACACAAAAAAAGTAACAACAGAGGTCGGAGAAACTTATGCAGGATGCACAGGCAACAACCAACCAAGGATTGTTCAGCTCAGACAGATTCCAGAACTGAAACACTACAAGTAGGGTATTGTATTGTATTGTACTGTATTGATTTATTGGAATTCGGTATCTCAACAGTACAACTAAGTTACTTGGGAAGATCCGAATGACAAAGTGATCCGGGATCCCCTCCTCCCTTTTAGAATACAGAAGATTTTAACCGGGGCCTGGCCCTATACAGTTGTATGGTCGCAATTGTCCACCATTGAGAGATTGTTTCAGCGAAAGCTCCTCATGTTTGTATTCCGTTGCCTGCACCACTGTCAAGTCACTTGTTTTCGTCTTTTTTCACCCCCACCACACCTTCTCAAGAAGATCATGACCGAAGGGCCACTCGCGGACAGGTGACATGGCTCTTACGTATCCCCTTCCTTCCGGGTCCTGCTGGACGGTCCTCCATCCGTTTCCAAGGTGCCATTCTCTGGAATAAGTTGCCGGCTGAAATTAGATGTATATCACAAAAGGATAAATTCAAGAGCACCATCTGACACTGTATTGAGTTGTTTGTCCCTACCTCTTTGTGTCTTAGCCTCTAGAACCGCTAGTTCTTCAGTTCCCTCTTTTTCTGCACGATTGCCTTGTTTGTAAGTTCTCACCTCTTTTCAGCACCGTTGCCTTATGCTCTATTTATGTGCGCCATTGCCTTCAGGAACGCTGTATTTTTGTTCTCGCATCCTTTCTGGACACTTGCCTCCAGAAACGCTTTATCTGTAATCGTCAGGGAAATCTCGCATAACGACTAAACTGTCGTAATCCGACATCATCATTATTCATTTTTCTCATATCTTTCTCATACATATTCATATCGCAGATTTCTCGTTTTTGGTAGGAATCGAAGAATCCTCTCTCCGGTGAGAAGGCAGCATTGCCTGTGCCCTGAGCGAATTGAAATAAAAAAATACAACAAGTCCGGGATCCTGCCAACTGGTTTCTGGTTGCAGTCAGGAACACTGTTTTAAATGAAGTGTGTCCCTTCGCCTTGTGATAATTATAATGCTGTCATCATCATCATACGTTGTACTTCTACAGCTGTGCATACAGTTGCAATACTCGCACATGTAAAATGGAAACCAACTTCTATCATACCCTGGTTTCTCATCATTGTGTTGCTTTTGCCCGTAAAAGAGGCCATAAAAAAAAGTTCTATCGAGCCGTTCGGACTTCTGTGGTAAAAAAAAAGAAGAAGGAAAAGACGAACTTAGAAAAAGGAAAGGACGGTACGAGTATTGATTCAGAACCGTCTGAACGCCAATCAACAAGACCACCTGAATTGACATGGCGCGGATGTTTTATTGTGTTTCGAAAAGAAGAATGACGAGGTACACAATTTCTGGACAAGAAAGCGCCACAGCGGTAAGGAACGCACCATGCTCTGTCAATTCAGCAGGTCCTGGTGATTCAATGCCGTTCTAAAAGTATGGTATATTGTCATCGCGAGAGATTCGTGTCAGATACGGATCAGGCTGCACATCCCTGCAGGACTGCAGCCATGCATGCACAGTCGTCCGTTGAGAATGGAAACGGACATACTCACTTTGCGTGAAGTTATGTCATCACATTTTTTTGTTTCTCTACATTATGTTCACATATTTTTGCATAAAGCTGTTTCCCATGTCGATTCAGCTCGTCCTTTTGTTCGCAATTTCAAAACTGTTGTCGCCTATTTACCTTGGGCAACGCTTTGGATGTTGTCTTTGGTGTACAACTATTTAACGTTTTGCTCTGCGTACTATACTGTTCTGACCCCGTGGAAAATCGCGGTTTTGCAGATGCAATTTGACGATTTCTGAGAACTTCCGCAATTTTTGAAGTTTTGTTGCATGAAAACATCGAAAGACCGTGCTGGCATCACTTGATCAAGGCCTTATCACTCCCGATTCTGTACGTATGGGTAGTCGGCACATTACTGGAGGACTGAAGTGCATGCATTTCATCAAGACTCCATAACCCCAGTGGTTATGGACTCTTGAGGTGTCATCGATTGGCGAATCTGGATCGAGTGTGAGCAGGCGGTGCGGTCCGAGCAACGCTGGCCCAAACGAAAAAAGCAAGGGTGCAGTATGCAAAATGTATGCATATCGTACAAAGATTCTGTGAAACCTGTCAAAAAATGTCCATTTCCACTCCAGCCACGCCCGGCGTAGCCGGATTGTACTCCAAGTACATGTACGCAGACTCCGGATTCGGCCAAACGATCACGCTAACTCGGAGCGCACTTGCGGACTGAAACCCTCTCCTTCATGGACAAATAGGCAGTTTTCTGGCAGGCAAACTGTAGATTGGCCAATCTACTTGCAAGTTTACCAAACGCTGTCGTAAATTCTCCACAAATCGCGTTACGAATTTTGGTCTATTCTTCCGCGATTTTCTCCAGGGTCAGACTGTGTAAACAAACCTTGCATCTGAAAGGATTTGGTGTAAGAGTCTCGTACTACTGTGCTGTTAATTTAACAAGGACATTTTTAGCACCTAAACACGGACTAGCAAGATGTAATGTTGGTGTTTTGCCGCGACACAACTCAAGGCACACATGGACAGGAATGTTGGAACAAAACTCGTTTGTTTCGAACTGCACTCCAAATGGAAATTGTTGAATTCAGTTTATGGATCTGTTGGGTAAGAAAGCGTAGGGAACCAGCAAAAAAGGAATAATAAATAATAGTGGAGAAAGTCTATTGATCTTGTCGGTCTCAAGGGAACACCAATAGGCACACACACACACTGTGACGGCGGCATCGCCACGATCAGAACACGGCACAACACGGAAATCATAGATACCCACAAGCACACACACACAGAGTTATTGGTGGACAAGCAGTGGAGATGTGCATGCACCGCCATCATTGGTAGAGCAGTTGCTGTGTGGTACACGGGTCAGAATCCCGATCGGTGGACATTTTTGAATAAATAGGTTTGGACCAGGGAATACAGCACCACACATTACTCAGCCTTGGAGAAGAACTCTTGGCTGGCATCCACTGAGGGCTTGATCTGCACAAAGGAACGACAGAAAGATGACCAGTGAAAATCCAAGTACCGTATGTCATATGTCATGCACACGGGGCCTTGAAATAGCACTTTCCGTACCTTCAAGCTGGCATAAGTACATGTACAACAAAATGCATGTTTCAGCAAGAGTAGTACATGAAACCATGCCGATGAACAAACATGAATATAAGTATCCCCGTACAAGTACTATTGCTTCTGGGGTGCAAGCATTCCAGAGAACAACTTAGAACAGAGAATACAACACCTATTCTGTAAAGTTGTGCTGGATCATGACAGGGCAATCAGCCACGGCAAGTAAGGTGCTTTCTGCTCCAGGAAGGACACATAACGAGAAGAGGAAACTGTAAGTATGTGTACGCCTCCATACAACATACATGTATCTGTAGAAAATGGACTTTTCGTGGTGCTCTGTATCTAGATTCGTAATGCAGCCATCTTGCAAGCTTGTGTTGATGACAAAAATTGCCAATTGTTTCCCTTTAAAAGCCCAGAACTGTCAAGCCAGTCAACTAACCGTGTTCTTGCCAGGGGTCCAGTTGGCTGGGCACACTACACAAAGACAACATAGTCATAGCAACACGCTAATCAGTACTACAAACGATAGCAAATCCCATAAATATTCTCTCCTGACTGCAAATTCACTGACCGAACCAATATTCTACTTATCCTCACGCCGTGACGTTCACCCAATCATCACTTGCAACGAACTTCTCCTCCAGCCGTTTTGCATTAATTTCTTCAGGACAAGGTACATCGTGATCACTGATTTGAAGCTAGCGACTCTACATCTGGTCATTTGTGTTTCACTGGCACGTTGAAGTAGAATCTACTCAACTCTATTAAATACAGGTGTACTTGAGACTGCACTCTAAAGGCAGCGAACAAACCATTCCCACGAACACCTTGACGTAGATGGCGCACGCTCACAAACGATTCTCAACGAATATCACCACCACTATCGAGAGTGCCATCATACACACAGTAAAGTACATGTGGCGCCCCCACCGAAGAGGGCTCAACACAAACGTCAAACGTAGTCGCTGTTCATGAGCAGGCAAGACAATCTCCAGAAGCACAAGTAACCAGAGCACGCACTGTAGACCAATACCATGAACGTTTGATTTATTGACGTGGTTATTACTCATGCCATAGAATGAAGCCAAGGCATTCGAACATTCGTTTCTACCCTGGTGAAACCCACTTGAAAAGCAGTTGGACCAGAGGATTTACCAGGCCTAGAAACGTGATTGTTTCAAAGTTCAGAGCAGATAGACCCATGCATCAGATAACACACACACACACATTCTCTCTCTCTCTGTCTCTCACCTTCACCGTGCTCATCGGTGAACTGGAAAGCCTTGACCAAGCGGAGGGTCTCGTCAACGGAACGGCCGACGGGCAGATCGTTCACAGTACTCTGACGAAGGACTCCCTTGTTGTCGATGATGAAGAGGCCACTGAAAATTGAAAGATACACACACACACATGCAAACACATGAGTGCAACCACCAGGGTAACGGTCAACATTCATTGGGCGCGTTTGATAACACACATTTCGGTCAATACTAGAATTAGTTATGGGTGATGCACCGTTCCATCACATAAATTCCGTTGTCAGAATCCGTCAATGCTGAAGAGACGCCTGAATTGCTAATTTTCCCGACAGAATCGACGCACGCGCCATGCTAGGCGTACAGGATCTCACATGATCCCCTTCACAATTTCTACGTCTAGTCGCTCGCTTACATGGCCGCAATCCGCTCATTCGAGAATTATAAAACTTGGGCCCAGAATATGTAGTCGAAAGTGCCCATTGTCTTTACCATGCAGTAGAGAGACACACTTACCGGAGTGCAATGCCTTGGTCCTCGAGCAGGACACCGTAGTCACGGGAAATTCCCTTTGTCAGGTCAGCCAGCAGTGGGATGTTCATGTCTCCGAGACCACCCTGCTTGCGGGGCACCTTGGTCCTGAAAAAAAAGGAAAAACACAAGGCCATTCAAATATAAATTAACCTCTAGCTCTTCAATATACGGAGGCTCCACTGCAGCCAATTAGGCAATCTCCTTCACCACCACGGTCTTACACTGCAATCGTAAAATATACATATCTCCAAATTTCAACCTCTACCACAGAAACGAATACAATGTGATCACATAAAGAGAGCACTAATGTCAGCTAACTTCAGATAACACACACACTCTCTCTCTCTCACACAAATGACAGCAGTAAAACACCAAAAAGTGCTTGGCGGGGAGAATAGGGAGGTTTAGTCCCACGCAATCCGTGGGTACTTTACGTGTGTGTACCACGTGATACTCAGTGACCCACGTACAGACGTTTTCTGATTCACGACATACCGTGTATGGAGGCTCACCCACGTTCCGCCAGAACGTGGGTGAAAATCAGAATGGAGCGCATTTCGCGAGCTGTGAGGGTGCTCAGCTGAAGAAGTTTCCGAAGCACGAAATCAAAATATTGGATGAACTTCTTAGGCCCGGGTAGCTTCGTCTTTTACCAGGTTTGGGCCTTTCGCTTCATGCTTTTGTTTGTTCCGTGTGACTAAACACAACATTGCAACGTGGGTGCCCTTCATCCACTTTACGTGGATCACCCACGTTACGCGTTTCCGTTACGTGGGAACTAAACCTCCCTAATAGCTCTGGGCAGCGAGAAGGATATGTGATGTGTTTCCTAGTTTCAATATGGATGCAGTATGTGAGCAGTCAGTGGAGACTCGCTGTATGCAGAGTAACATGGAGGCATAGCATCTCGCACTGAATCTACTCATAGTAAGTTCCTTAAACACTGTATTCGATTATCGCCAGTCATTGCAAGCATTTACAGTGCCGCTCAATAAAATCCAGTTGCATCTGTCAAGCATGCGCCGGGCGTTGCGCAGTCTCCGGGCTGCGAACACATGGCTGTGAAACTGTGCAAGGCGCAAACTCGAGCGACACGACTGGATTTCATTGACCAGCACTCTACATGCATTCGAAGCGTGCACTCTTCAGACCCCATTTCCATTATACACACCGCAATGAACACATGCTAAAATGGCAAATGTGGGTGATACCCTGATTCCCAGTACTGGTGGACGATTGTACACTTGCATTGATGGTTTGGCCCTGCAGCACACCACCCGAAGAATACACGTTGGCAGAAAAGGGGGAAGGGCTAACGTCGCTGTTCTGGAACCTACCATGCCAGGTGGGAGAAGTGAGAGTCGACAGAGCAGGCAACAACCTCGCAGTTGATCTTGCGGAACTCCTCAACGCGATCGCTGAAGGCAACGATCTCAGTTGGGCAAACAAAGGTGCTACACGAACAAACAAAAGGAGACAAAGAAGAAGAGAAGATGGCATGAGCTCGAACTGATGTGTGCTGTGGCTGGTAATGAAACCCTGACAGACCATCCAGGAGTACAGGATGTACAGTGCAGTTAAGCATGCACACCACCAGGATTTCATTGGTGGCTACTGAACATTCACTTCAACCCACTTGCAGAACGGCAGGGACAAAACTGCTGACCCCGAGACAATTCTTCAATTGTATGTGCAAGGCCACGTACACACGCACATACAGTCACATCAGTACACAACACGCACCACAGGGGGGCAATTACACTATGCTGATCTTTGAGAGTTTTTGGAAGAACAAGATGTCACAAAATGAAATGTTCCCCCAGGTATGCTGGCAACGGTGTGCTGGAAACCCCGCTGCCATTCACAAATGTACTAGTATGTGTAACAGGAGTTATCAAGCCTGTGCCCTGCAAGCTGGCATACAAGTCAGCAAGTGTCTTGGTGCACTTCTCATGTAATCCGCAAGAAAGAGTAGCACGACAGCAGTGGTCAGTAGTATCTGAACTCATGAAAATTAATAATAGGAGGGGGGGGGGGGAGGTTACGCAGCAGGTTACGCAGCAGGGGACTTTGCTATGGCCACCTTGCTCATTTGGCCTACAGCTTATGGTATTGGAGACTAACAGAAGAGGATAATGCTGCGGAATAACAGTAATGCAAATCTACACACTCTCACTCAGATCAGTACGGAGGTCGTTCAAAAGCAGTGGAGCTGCTGAGCAGTAGACGTGACAGCCAGTGTCCATGTCATGGAGAACTACATTTTACATGTACATGCACGCAAAATCGCATGCGTCTCACTGTAGTCACCAGCCTCAGACTGATTTTTCAAACAGAATAGTAGAGAGAATTTCCGACAGCCAGTCACAATTTACAGCCTCGGGCCAAAAAAAAGGTGAACCAATTTACTCCAATCGATCGCCAAAACTCCTGTACGCACGCATACATACAATAGATGTTGCGCAATAACTGAAGTGCACAATTCTGTTCGAAGCATTTTAGACCAACAGTGGGAGGCAGTAATAAGACTTACAAGTCCAAAGGGTAGAAGAAGAAGACAACATATTTGCCTGCACGAAAAACAGAAAATGCAGATTGATTTCAGACTTCGTCCGGAAACTGGGAAGTTTTGAAGGCAACATCGATCCAGCCATCCTTCCGACCCTACCTGCGTAATCAGACAGAGAAATCTCCTTGAACTGTCCATCAACAACTGCTTGTCCCTTGAAGACAGGGGCAGCCTGCTGGATTTGAGCGCGAGAGGCCATGGTACTGCAGTGATGAAGTCTACAGAAATTAGAGAGTGTTTGAAAAGCAGCAACAAAAGAGTGCCTTCAGGAAGTTGCATATGTCACATGTGAGTGCTTGCACGTTTCGGAGTCAAGTGGCAGCTGATTGCCAATAACTAAACTGATTAAAATTGACCGGAAGGAGCTCACCTAGTTTGGAAAACAGGACGAACGCAACCAGAAAGGTTCTGAAGGCTGAACAAGAAACGTCGACCAGACATGATGAATCTCCAATTATTTTCAACTCTCAAATAAACCAATGGCGCTAAAAACAGGCCAGATCTCGTGGAACCAACATGGGGCGCGAATGGTACGCGGAAGCTTGCGCTGCACGCGCCCTGTACGGTACGGTAACGTCGACTGTCGCATGCGCATGTCCTTGCCATTTGCTAGCGCGCCTCCATGACCATGATGACCGGTGCACCGGTACGCGGTGGCGACCATGATGACCCAACTACAGCTAGCAGGCGACAGTCCGCTAGCGATAGACTTGGAAGTAGTTGGAGCTACCGATCATCAGCAAACATTCGATCGCCTTCGCCGGCTTCGGACAAGTCATTAGTCGACTCTTCTGCTGCATGTACTGCCTGCTCGGTGCAGTGGGAAAGGCTTTCTTGAACGTTTCAAAAGGCTTCACGAAACTACTACATGATTGTACTAACTTTCCCTCGGGTGCCCTATACTATCTATCAAGAGTCCATAACCCCCCAGAGTGTGCAACTCGTGATCCTTCTCAGCACAAATCAGTCCCGCAACGAAATCCAAACTTCATACGTCATGTAGTGAGTAGCTATGACGAAATGGGAAGTTTGGCCCGGACCTACTTCGCCCGTTTGCCCAATTTGGGGTCTTTCTTTACGAATCCACGGTCAGGTATTGTACGTAACACGCCTGGAAAGGCTCAAGTACACAAATAATTATTTTAGAGTTGTCGAACAGTTTTCTCTTTTGAGTGTCTCTCCGATAAGAGAAGAACAATGGCCACTGTTGAACCTAAAGCAAAGCGCTCCCCATTGTCGCCGGAGTGCAGTGTCTCTGTGGACGATATTCGTCAGTTTTTGTTCGATCTGGGCTCCTCATTTTCTTCTCTCGATTGTCGAGTGTTGGAAATTGTTAATTCTTCCAGCACCTGGATAGAGATTTATTGCTCGAAGTCTGTGCTTCTCACATGCAATGGAACACCCGTCAATTTGAACCGTCTGGTTGTGAACCCAGCAGGAACATTCACTGCAGGTGGAAGCACATCTACTTCGAAATCGATCGGGTCTTCATGCCGTGTGCCAAGAGCTATTTCCATCAAATCTTGTAAATCTATATCCATGCCTATTCTTGCTATCCCGGAGTCACGAACTCTCCCAATGCAAGCTTTTCAGACAACGAGCAGAGAAACTCTCTTCAAATAAAAAAATTCTGTGACTGTGAAATCAAAGCCGTTCTGCTGACACTGCATAGCCCGTGCAGCAAACGTTTTACGTGACACTTCCGTGGCTTGCTTCAAAGCAACCTTCAACTTGGAACCCCCGCCGGATGTACCAGATATGCACATGGGGATATGGCCCCATCCGCCCATGCTTGCCCGGGGACCGGATGACGCAATGTTTGGATTTCGTTGCGCCAGACCCCAACCTGGAGTTGCACACTCTGGGGGGTTATGGACTCTTGTATCTATACATAGGCCTACAGTGAGATCGGGCGCCGAAGAACGCAGGGGCTCGAGCGCAGCCTAGGAAAGTAATTAGTTCTTAAAGGGGAAGTTAAGGCAAAAATTAAAATTTCACCAGTTGTAGTCTTCGGGGTGCTGAGTCGAATGGTCTTGGTCCGAGAAAGTTGAGATGCTCCCTTCCTACTTGAATCCCAATCGAACTCGCGCACTTCCACCGAAACTGGGTGACTGCGCCCTACTAGATGGGGATTTGTATGCAAAATGTCACTAAAGGCGCCGTTTCGTTCTTCTAAAAGCACGGATGACCGCGATTGGCCCATATGTTGTAGTCTTTTGGACGCTGAGTCGACTGGTTTTGGTCCGAAAAGGCTGCGATGCAGCGTTCCTCCTTTATTCCCAATCGAACATGGCTGAACAAGCGGTCACGTGCTCCTGGGTGCCCAAATCACCTGGTCACCACGCCAGCAGGCGAGAACTTTCACACCAAGGCTCAACTCGAGTTCAACTCGAGTGACAGGAGTGCACCCAAAAAAGGTCAAACAGGCTAGTAAGTAATTAGTTGTACCCTGCAGGCACGGTGACCAGCTGACTGGTGTACGCAGGAGCACGTGACCACTTCTTCAACCATGCTCGATTGGGAATAAAGGAGGAACGCTGCATCGCAGCCTTTTCGGACCAAAACCAGTCGACTCAGCGTCCAAAAGACTACAACATATGGGCCAATCGCGATCATCCGTGCTTTTAGAAGAACGAAACGGCGCTTTTAGTGACATTTTGCATACAAATCCCCATCTAGTAGGGCGCAGTCACCCAGTTTCGGTGGAAGTGCGTGAGTTCGATTGGGATTCAAGTAGGAAGAGAGCGTCTCAGCTTTCTCGGACCAAGACCATTCGACTCAGCACCCCGAAGACTACAACTGGTGAAATTTTAATTTTTGCCTTAACTTTGATTCTAGCCAGACCGTTCTTATTCACACGCGCGCGGCGAGTCGAGTGACGTCATGACGTTTGTCATGTACATGTACATGTGACTGTACATGTACAATGTACATGTACATGATCATCACATGTAGTGCAATGTAGTACAGTGGTCCCTCATCCTGCACCGTTTGTGCCACGGAAATCTGCTGGATTAGCGAGGGTGCTGGATTAACAAATAATAATTATGATTTACTGCTGCAATGTGCATGAAAAGGACATTTTGGCTACTGAAAATTGTGCTGGTTTATCGAGGGTGCTGGTTTATAAAGTGCTGGATTAGAGAGGGACGACTGTACTTCTAAACTAGTGGGTGTCGTAAATGGGAATGACTGTACATGTAGCAGTTACTGTTTACACGTGTACATGACATGTACTCACCTCCCATACATGTACAATGTAGATCTACGTACAATGTAGATCTAGTGTTCTTAAATCTGATAATTCTAGCCTGGACTGTTCTTAAATTTTGCCGGTTTTCCAGCCTGGGTGTTCTTCGGCGAGGTGTTCTTCGGCGCCCGATCTTACTGTAGCTGCCCCACAGCAAGACTCTTGCCCACAGGGTTGCTCTACTGCCAAGCCAGTAGTCATCATGGTAGATCTACATCAGGGAGTCGTCAAATACTGACGACTGACGGGATATTTTGACGACTCCCTGACAGTCCCTGTCCCTGATCTACATGACATCAAGAGTGCATAAACATGGACTCTTGATGACATCAAGAGTACATACCCCCCCCCCCCCCCCGGGGGTTATGTACTCTTGATGATAATACATGATCCTATTATACTGACTGGTCTACATGCAGTACTATACTGCCACTACTGCCGTACTGGTCAGGCTACATCATACCAGGGAGCCCTACACGTAGGGCTCCCTGCATCATACATCATGATTGTAACATGGTACTACAGTGTAGTCAGGTAGTACAGTAGGTTTCGGCAAGAGTACATAACCAAGAGTGTGCAACTGCCTGCACAACCTCTATGGCCCATATGGGTTATGTACTCTTGGTATCGGTTATAGCGTGGGTGTTGAAAAACGACTTTCTATTCTTATTTCCGATATTTCTTACGCACGATAAATATAGTGTGACGTATCATATCAAGAGTACATAACCCCCATGCATGTGCGCGTGCGCGTAGCCACGAAGATCATCATACATGCAACGTAGTGCTGCTGTGTATGCGGTTAAAACTAGAAAACTAGGTAGGCATCCGATAGCGTTGGCCCAACTTGGGTCACCTCCACCATGCCTCCAACTAAATCTGCCGTTCGTGGACTAGCGGATTCCGAGGTAAAGCTGTTGTGCTCCCTCCCCGGGATCGAGTCGTCGGTTGTAGATGTGATGAAGACGTTAGCAGCGTTGGTAACGGAGTCCGCAGACCGCGAGGAACGACTGAATAACAGAATTGACGACTTATCGAGGCAAATTGCAGGGCTAAACGAGGAGGTTGTCGCCCTCAGGGAGTCCGCCATTGCTTCTCCTCGGCCTGCCACAGCTGAACCCCAGAGAACTCGTACTCCGCAGGGTCGACGGCGTACCCGTACCCGTACGCGCAGGAACCAGGCCCAGGTCAGGATGTCACGCGGGACCAGGCCCAGGATGCCACGCGGGCCACGACTGATGAGGGCGACGTGCAGCATGCTGGCCAGCGCAACTTGGAGCTGGAGGAGGACGACAACGAGCTCCAGACTCTGGACATCATTGCTGACGACAGCTGGCAACTAGTTGCACAGGAACCCCCCAGGGCCAAGAAAGCAGTAATCTTTGTGGGCAACCTAGGTACAAACTGCTCTGAAGAGAGCATCAAGACTTTCGTGAAGCGGCGCGCTGAGGCAGTGGGATCAACGGCCAGTGTTCACAACGGCATCATCCACACAACGCAGACGGGAAAGGTGTCAGCTAGGATTTGTATCGATGCCACAGACCTGAGCCTCCTGACAACTCCGGACTTCTGGCCAAGGCCTCTGTACGCCCGGCCATGGGAGTACCGAGACCGTCCGAAGCCCAACGGACAACACCCTGCCGGCGCTGCGAGAGGTGACCCTACACCTGATGGTGCTGAGAGCGCTGACAGCGAAAGCACGGCATCTGCTGGCACCCCGCAATGATCAGTGCAGCTCCGCCGCTCCGCTGGCTGGTGACCAACGCGTTTGGCCTCACCAACAAGCTGGGGGAGCTGCAGCATGCACTGCTCAACGATAACGTCGACATAGCGGTTATCACAGAAACGAAGTTCTCGGCCCAGACCGTAGCCTCTGAGACGATATTTCAAGGATACTCGCCTCCCATCCGACGTTTGGTGGCGGCATTGCTGTATGGGTGAAGTCCGGCCTCCCAGTGGTGCACCTCGACCAGATTCCCACTGATGACCACGAAGTCCTCTGGCTCGCAGTGAGTCTTTCTACGCAACAATCTGTTGTTATCGGTGCCTTGTATCGGCCTGGATCCTGTGCGGACAACGACACCTGTCTGATTGAGTATCTTGGACCTGCACTAGACGTGGCCCGCACTCACGGCACTCACATAGTGCTAGCTGGGGATTTTAATGTCCATCACGAGACTTGGCTCTGCAGCAGCAAAACAACTGTAGCTGGAGAGGCCTTGGAAGAATTGTGTGCTGAGCATCAACTCCACAAGCATGTCTTGCAGCCGACTAG